TATCCTCGTCCTGGGCTTAACTGGGATCGCCTGTGGCAAATTCCCAAATCACAGTGGCAGCTTTAGAAATCAGTCATGGTGGAAGCCTGGTCGCTAGGTCCATTGGGCACCTGCTTCAGACTACCTGAATCTACCGTAGTCCGCATCGCCAAAGGACGCATTCAACTCGAAGAATAGAAACCTCAACAACAAAACATTAAAAGGTGAAAAGCCCCCTGGGAACGCCATCGAGTTTGTTTGGACGGAATACATTACACATACTATGCAATCCCATACCATTGTCGGCCCAATGAAACCGACATAAATTGGTGAAACCATATTTACCCCCTAAAAATGCTGAAAATGTGTAGTTTTCCCACCGTTTTCTCTCGCTTATCCGACCTTTACAAACTCTCGAATTTTTGTTGTGCAGAAATGTCCTTTGAATCTCAAGCAATTGGGTGTCATTTTCCGGGATCAGATCGGACACGTGGCTCTCGAGATACGAAGGGGGTCTATTAATCGTTTGCGTGTCCTGAGGACAGTCGATCCACGGAGCAGTGCTGCGCCTCTCCACAGCGGTTAATAACAGTTTCACCGTGAAATGGATTAGCGACCTGATTGACTTCACAATGACTTCCAGACTGAGTTAAAAATTTTCCCGGATAGTCCCCGACTGATGGTTCGCCTTAATCCGGCGGTTTTCTGCCTACATACGATGCGCCTTTAGCTCTCGGAATCGTATGACTGCAGGCTGATCCGTGACTGACCCTGGGACTCCGCTTTCACGTTGGGATACGGCCCAGCAGATGACTCTTCCAGTGCAAGAATTCAAACAGACTTTACCCTTAAGCGTGTTTTACAGCTCTTGCTCTCGTGATAGAAAGATATTTACCAGGGTCAATTTCGTGTCTTACACCTCTATGTAACTTTGAGAATCGATTCCAAAAAGATTTAAACAGTCACCAGCCATGGACAGGATTTATAGCTCTTGCTCCGGTAATAGTGAGCCACACTTCATGATTATCCTGTCAGATCAGGCCGGACTCTGCCAGTTTCGCTTTGGACGTGTCTAACTTTTCATATCCCCTGAGTCGAGCTGATTCGGGTCAAGGCGTACCAGTATTCACGTTATTTAAAGTTGCTCGGCATTACAATGTTGAATTCATCTAATGTCACCCCATGACGTGCCATGATCTTGACATTTGGCGACTTTGTAACTTTAATGTACCACGATTAAAGGATGGATCGGGCATGGACTTCGCACAAGCATGGGTAAGGTTATGTGCATTGGTGTCGCTTTTTGTGCAATTACTTAACACATTGAGAACCGCTGGTCAAGAGCATGGTGTGTCTGCAGCAACGCCAGTGTTGTGGAACATATAATTTTGAATTGTTTGCTATCCGGAACTTAAATAAGAAAGCCCATCCCAGGTGCATTTCATTCTGGCATTGTGAGTGGCTTTCGAACTGTTCTGCTCGCGGACAGTCGTGCATCACCGCCTGCCACGCGGGCGGTAATACACGACTGACTGTATGTGTTCCCTGTGTGAGGTACCGTACATAACAGCTGGTCTTGGTGACGACGTTGTCAGGCCGCTCAGCTCCTTTCGTATCTTTTACTCGAGTCAAAACCGTTAGTTTTAGTTGAGAACAAGCATTACGTGAAAATGGATATCGCTTGACGCACGATTTGGAAAGCACGAAGACATAAAATGCAACGTCAATACCTCGCACACTCCTTTCATAGAAGCATGCGATTGGTAAGCTGCCGTAAATCCATCCATTATCAGCTCATAAATATGGGGGGGGACAGGGGCCGCGGAACGTATTTCCTTGGGCTTCATGATATCATTTCAGAGATATGATGGCCGCAGCTGGAGTAGACCATCAGAACCGCAAGCCGCACATTGACCGTCCGTGAACAAACCCTGCCTGGCCGTGATCGAGCTTCGCAGACTTCAGGAGCCCCGCTTCGCTGACTCGCTTTCGCTGCGGCAGTTGCCTGCTCGAAGGAGCTCAACGGCTGTGGCATCGCCCGGAATGTATATGCAGAGTATCGGAGAAAATGATTAAGATAACGCCAGCAGCTGTCGGACGCCCTCGCTATCTGCGCCTAACGCCGCACCACGAGCCAGCGTGCTGTGTGTGGGATGCCGCCCCCGCCAGGACCGGCGGTGCTGGCCCGGGTAGCTGACGTGCTGTGTGTGATGCCGTCCCCGCCAGGGCCGGCGGTGCTGGCCTGGGTAGTTGACGTGCTGTGTGTGATGCCGCCCCCGCCAGGACCGGCGGTGCTGGCCCGGGTAGTTGACGTGCTGTGTGGGATGCCGCCCCCGCTAGGACCGGCGGTGCTGGCCCGGGTAGCTGACATGCTGTGTGTGATGCCGTCCCCGCCAGGGCCGGCGGTGCTGGCCTGGGTAGTTGACGTGCTGTGTGGGATGCCGCCCCCGCCAGGACCGGCGGTGCTGGCCCGGGTAGTTGACATGCTGTGTGTGATGCCGCCCCCGCCAGGACCGGCGGTGCTGGCCCGGGTAGTTGACGTGCTGTGTGGGATGCCGCCCCCGCCAGGACCGGCGGTGCTGGCCCGGGTAGCTGACGTGCTGTGTGTGGGATGCCGCCCCCGCCAGGACCGGCGGTGCTGGCCCGGGTAGCTGACATGCTGTGTGGGATGCCGCCCCCGCCAGGACCGGCGGTGCTGGCCCGGGTAGCTGACGTGCTGTGTGTGATGCCGCCCCCGCCAGGGCCGGCGGTGCTCGCCCGGGACGGCTGTAGCTTCCCATCGGCGGTGGTCGGCGTCGGTGGTCGGCCGTGACCAATGCAGAGTGGTGCATAGGACTGGTGCAGCCCTTGGTTGACAGACGCGGGGTTATGTTCATGGACGGGGGCGACTGCTACCTCAAACTGTCGCGTCAAGCGCCGTCTGTCGGCTTCCTCGAATAACCGTCGGTGTTTTTTGACCGGTCATATTACATGACAAACGGGAGGTGTGCAAAATGCTCTGAAAGTGATGCCCCCGCACGCTTTTTCAAAAAGGGGCACAAAATCAACGTTTTTAACCAACGTTCTTTCTCCAAAGAACGTAGTGAGGTTCTCCCCGTCCACCTAGGACATACGCTACCACTGCGCCGCCCGGGGCCCAAAGTTCCACGCTTAGCTCCCACCCTGTCAGTGGAGGGCCCTCGGAGCTAGGCCAGGCAGCCCCGACAATAGCAACGCGATCGATCAAGTTCATGTGCATCCGTTGTCGTGCAGGCTGCGATAGCTTGACTTCTTGGCGTCGTCCACGCGATGACAATTAACAGACTTTAACCCTGTTATCGTCTCTCTCTCATTCTAACGCCGCAAAAAGGCGTGTTGTCGGTGACGTACGCCTGTGGCGATGCATAGAAAATTAAGTGCATATGCATACACAATAACGTTTTATGCCATTTTTGATATATATATATATATATATATATATAGTATATATATATTATTATTGCATACATGCATATACAATAACAAAGACAGTACGCCCCGAGCGCCCAACAGCGGCATCATGCCCATACTGATACGCCGATGATGCAGCCTGGAAACGCTATGATGCGACTTGCAACGCTATGATGCATCTTGGAAAGTCATTTCAGAGAGCGGCTATGTATTTCCAGAAGCACAACCAGGGCCTCAGACAGAAATGTAATGGCTTTGGCAAAACAAGCTGGTTTACACCCAGAATGCACTGCAGAACCACCCGGGAGTCATTAATATTTGGCTCATTACACAACCTATTGTGCTAAGTCCATGTCCTTTCACTGGAGCTAAGTGGAGCCTTATGCACATGCTGAGACAGTTATGAAAATAAATGCACATTTACAACACCCTTCCAGGTTAATGCCACTTAACTTATGATGCCCTTTGTGAGAAGTGCATAGCTCGAAATCCCTAGGCCAGGCAGCTTCCCAGCGTCACAGCCGCCTAGCTCACCCTCAGCACGAAAGCAGCCGCCATGTCGGAAATAGGTTGGGCAATGGCGAACGGTCGTCACGCATCGAATCCCACGGAACAGGTCAACAGACAGAGGGCGCCTTTGTCGCCGGAAGCGGCTCTCCGGCTGGGGCGGCGCGAGCGCCGCTGTTGGCGGCCTGGCCAACTAGCCGAAACAGGAGACAGCGTTGAAGGAGCACTGCTTCCAGTAGGAGCGCTTTTGTTGCAGCTCTGAGACGTCCAGATTCTTGCGCAGCCTACGCAGCATCTGGCGAGCGTACAGGTAGTTCAGCAGCGCCGTCTCGGCCGTCCGTCGTCCTCCATCACCTGGCGGCATGGAGGCAGGTCAGCAGGGATTTTCAACCGCGGAGCTATGTTCCGAGATCGTGTCGCTTCAAGCAATCACTTTATGGTTTTCACGTGTCTTTTTTCATTGCTTGGTCTGCACTGTACATACTCCTCTGTCAAATAATTTCACTCTCTAATATGTTTACTTCCACTAAATGTTCCATCATTTTGCGTATCTGAACGCAAAATCGTAAAGCACGATTTCCTCTTAAAAGCACAGTTGGGTGCACTTTCACCAATTCAAAGGCAAGTCGGCTGAGACTGCCTTTTTGTACTGCTAATAATTGCCAGACAGCATCCTGAGAGCTGCTGCAAAAGAAATGACAGAGAACTTAACCAGATTTGTGTAGGCTATGTAACCAACTACCTGTGACAAACTTTGTTTGGAATACCTTGATCAAAATCGGACTGAGGACAACCAGGAACATATCTGCCTGGGTTACAGTAAGTTGTACTTCCAGGATCACCCGCCTTCGCAGTCCCGCATGTTCCACCTTTCCCTCCACGGAACTTGCCCTTGTAACGCCCCGCCCTGCTACCGCCGGTATACGTCGCCCCCGCCCCTCCTCGCCACCACCTGATTGTCATCGACCCAGCCCGGCCCGGTGTCACCGGCGGGCACCAACAAGAGCAGCGGGTCCGGCCCGGCGCCCTGCCGAGAGGACCACTCTAACGCCGCCGACTGTCGCTGTCCGCCGCCATGGTGCCGCCCACAGACGCAACAACATCGGAGTGGATTATTCTGTTGGCGGGCGCGGCCGCACCAGCATTCGAGGCATGGCTGACCCGAAGTGGCCAGCGACCACGTGGGCCCAACGCATTACCCGGCAGAACAAGACATCAAGAGTTTCAATGGAGTTTGGAGATCCCTACATATTTCGTCGGGACCAAACCAATTTGAACGCTGAATCGCACGGATGGGCGAATGGCGTTTTTTTGTTTGTTTAGCGTAACCGGACAAAAGGTGTTGCTAATTTGGTGGTTGGCTCTTACATAATCATTATTAAATGGCAAAGAAAAATAAAGAGTGCAGTTTACTTTATTTCCATTGGCCAGTGGACCAGAAATCGTTTTCTGCGAAACGAGACAAAAACAGGTCTCATTTTTGTGTATAACAAAAAAAAAACATGCACCCAAAGCTTTTGTGTGATATTCAGTGCTTTTATATCAATATTCAATTTGACTTTAGGGACAAGGAATTCATTTTTGTGTTATTTTCCGCTTTGGATTGTTTACGAGCGATCGAAGCGCACCCAATTCACAACAGCATTATGCTTTTCTTTTCCCAAACTTTTCCCCATACCGCGTATCCCATAACGTCTTCAGTGCCTCGTTAGCGCAACTTTTATTCAACGCTCGAGCCCGTGGCAAAACTTTGCTACCTGGAGGCTCGAGGGTAAAGCCTGTCAACTCGTCAGCGGAATCTGTGATTAATTTGGGATGTGCATGGCCTGCTTCACATCCCCTCGATATATCTTCCGACATTGGGCAGTCTGGGTTACATATCGGTGTTTGGCTAATCGTTCCACTACAATGACGCGTAGAGCTCACACAATGTGGTCATGGGAGCGACTGCCTACGAAAGAGGGACATCAAAGCTGGTGCGCATGTTTTATTCCCTCGATTACGACTAAAATCGTGGCTAGGTCTTAAATTTGTCATTCAAAGACGTAGGCAGCATTAAGACCGATTTGTCATACAACTTCAGATCTGTGCGTCTTCGACTCTCATACGAGTTTGGAGCGCGTGCGTCAGAAGCGACGTCTTCCAGGCGCGATCCACGGCCTTTTAAGGTGCCACGAGGACAGTCTGGTAAACTTCTTCTACGTACTAGACCATGTAAGTCAGAAAACTCATCTTACCACACACTCACACACACACACACACACACACCACACACACACACACACACACACACACACACACACACACACACACACACCACACACACACACACACACACACACACACACACACACACACACACGTAGTATATATATATATACATATATATATATATATATATATATATATATATATATATATATATATATATATATATATATATATACTTCACCCATCATTATTTGAAGATTTGCCAGGGAGAAGATGGGCCGACGAGCTAATTTTCTCCCAGAACGTATCTTGCCGCCGTTAGGGACTAACGCGTTGACCCGACGCATTGGAGAAATTCGCTTAAATGAATTATATCAGACGTGTTGGAGCTGTCATCTATTCGTAGATGCGTGAATCTTTTCATCTTCTTTCGTTTGAACTACTAAATAACTCATTTCGTTGCCTGGAAGTTCGGCTAGCATTGTTTTCCCTCGAATACTCCACGTACAACAGTGAGCATAAGAGAAATAAACACAGAAAGTGGTATTTCATACTGCCTCTCCTGTGGGCGCCAAGCAGCAAATGTGGCGACCGTGCTACGTTTGTTTTCTAGCAAAATTGTGCTGGTATTACGCTGCAGGCTGTGAGGAAGATTCAAAGAAGGTGTGCTGGGAGAAAATCGGCATTTACAGATGAGAACGGCATTTGTTGTGAGGTTCTGTGATCGTTAGTTTAATTTTTCCTTGAAAAGTGACAGTTGAAAATCAAGTGCCACTGTTGAATTTCGCAGAGTGCGCGCCAAAACGTGCGACAGGTCGCCGCGTGAGGGACGCGCTCATGCAATACACTCACTCACGTCGGGTTCCTCCAACTTGTGAAAGCTAGTGAGGGCACTGCTCTCCTTGAGGCGGAAGGCCTTAAGCTGATGGTTTTTTTCTGGTTGTGTTCCAGAAAAGGATGGTGAACCCCTATCCTCACATGATGTGTTTTTACGTTGGTGAGAAGGCGGTGCGCTTTGGTGCACCGGCGAAGTTTTTCCAGCAGCCTAAGGAAAAACTGAATCATGGGATAGCTGCCAGATACTTGCGATGTTCAGACTTTAAAGACGGGGCAGTGCGAATGGTGCGGAGGCACTGTAGGCGAACCCTGCACCGCTGAGTGCAGCTGGACCGGGCGCCGCATTCTGAGGTGGTTGCGCATGCGCGCCTGACTGAATATGTATACTGTTTGTCGTGCCTTCGTCGGGGTTTCGTTGTACCAATGTGCCTCACTTCACAGTGTGTAACACACAAAACATCATGGCTGTATCCATTTGGTAATTGTTTCCGTCATCTGAGATACTCGGAGCTTGGCACTCAAAACACTGATATAGCACGAAACATCCACCTTGCAATCGGACCTTGAAATGGAAGAGGACATCGCCAAAAACCTTGGGAGGCAGATTTATCAAACATAGATAAAAAAGCAGGAACAACCTTCTTCCTCGGAGAAAAAACCAGGAAAGTGGAGATAAAGCTGGATTGATATTTTGGCCATATGCCTTTATCGAAACAATACCATAAGTAAATTCAAAGTTGTCTGCGGATGATTCTACTCAATTTTTCGTTTCTTTTTTTGGAACAGCAAGCCACGGCTTTTACAGGATACCAGCCTTTGATGGATTAAGCAAAGAGCGACTTCCAGCCATTACCACGATACAACGCCTATCTAATGCTTAGAATGCGCAAACATACGTGTACATGCATACGAATTCAAGCATATAGGCATCACGCATCACGCTTCATTCACACATGCAAGCGAGATGAAGTAAACAGGCATCGCACATCGCGCATCAAATCTACATGTAAGTGGCTTCAGTTGAGCGGGCATCGCACATCGCACGCCAGGCATCACTTACGCAAGTAAACGATTTTAAGCTAGCCTTAAATCTTCCTCGCGAATGCATGGAACAACAAACGCAATTCCTCAAACTCGATAAAGGTAATCTTAGGTCACCCAAGGTCCACTGCCTTGCCGTCACTCACCTTGATTGACCTACAAAAGGGCATGCATCTAATAGAAGGTTGTGCCGTCGTGAATATGCACAGATATTGAATCCATCAGCCCGCTGAATGCCCTTTGTTGGCATCAACTACACCTCTTGATGTTATTCCTCCGTGTCATGGTGCGACCTTTTTTATGTCGACCCATGTCGCAAAGAATGACTTACTCGGTACTGAAAATTTGAACTATATCAATTCAGGTGTGCCCCGTGAAAGTTAAGAATAATTCATTCATTGCCTGCAATGTTAAAAGCTAAAAAGGAGTACCATCCATATTGCAAAGTGTGTTGCAATGTTGCAAGCAAACATTCGTTACGTTGTGCACTTGACAGTGGAAGGTCTGATCCACCACATGGAATATAATTTATACCTACATAGCTTACTGAATCTTATAAGACTACGAAATTAAGTGAAAGACTTACGGGTAACGGCACAGCGTTGTATGCAATGGATGTAAATTCGTGATACAGCCCCCAAACACATATTGGATAGCGTATGCAACTTAGCTTTTATCGTTTTTCGCTGAAATTCATCTCCCTCCAGTGGCATGAAAATCATTTCAGTTCCCATTAGGTACGCAGGAAAACATTTTGCAAGTATGCTGCAAAGGCATGCTGTGCGCTTCTCAGTGATGCGTCTAAGGCCTGCTGATAAATGTCTATATCTAATGAGACTATACCATATTGGAAATAATAATACTGAACTCAAAAATACCCGGGGCTCACCTTTGCAACTAGAAATGCAATATTACCCAATGAATGTTTAACTGTCGATTGCGCATTGGAAAGTTAAAGCAGCCTTTGCTGTACGTGCTCTTCGCGAAACTACGTTTTGTTCGTGTTTCATGAACACTTCAGTATAATGAATGCTTTGTTAACAGCGATGTTGTTCATATATTGCTAAAATGACCGTTTATTTTGCACTTTCTCCAGCTAAAAACGGTAACTGAGGTTTGGATATGGGTTTTAGTTACAAACCCCAAAACTGTTCATCGGATTTGTCAACGGGGTTATGTTGTTGGCTAAACGGATCATGCACAGCGTGTGCCGAGAATGCTATTGTCGTTTCATTGTCCTTGGCTATCGACTAAAGACCAGGCCCTACGGCGCTGTACGGGTCTGTCAATGGCAGGAACGGCCGCCTTGATGCCCGGTCAGAGACGGGAAATCCATACAGTGTGTAGTTGCTCCTCTCACTGTCGGTAATCTACTGACGACGTGGTCAGCATCGGTCGTCGACGGTTGAACAGAAGTGTATGCACGGCTATGTGCGGCCCATGAACATAGGGCTTTACCTTAAGACGCCCTGGCCTTCTTTTATTTATACCACTGAGCAATATATTATGTAATACAATAATTGCTTAGATATTTTTCCTATTTAAAGAGGCCTTGCAGTAGGTCTTGGTTCAGGTGGACGAAAGTCACGTGTGCGTAGAATCTCGTGCTTCTAGAAAAAGAGTAAGGCTCGTGGCGTCCCCTGCCATTCAAGGTAAACACAGTCCAGGTATTGCTGCTGGCCGGTGTCGTGCGATCAAATCGGTGTCGGTGTCGTGCGATCTCACACCCAGGCATGGAACGCTCTGATTAACGGAGAACCTGTCTCATTACCTGGACGGCTCGTGCAAAACATCCCTGCGCCCACGCCGCTCAGCGCTGGAGTCAGGGTCGTAATAAACGGCAGGACTTGGATGTTGTCACACCCAGATGCATAAACATGATATGCGTGATGAAGGTGCGCACATCATGTTTGTGAATACCGGTGATGACTACGTTCGCTGGTCCGGGAAAATAGAGTATCTTGGATGTGCCCGTAAAGCGTATGAAACTGAAAAAATGCCAAAACTGCGAGCACGGCGATGCACGTTAACAATCCAACCAACATTACCCTGAGTCTCTCCATCTGATCCCACCAGTTCACAATGCTAGAAGTTCACCCCGTTATGCCCCCGCTGATCTGGAGTCAGCGGGCAAGGAGAGCCACGATCTCTCGTGCAGAAGAGCCGGGATGCCCAGACTGGGGTATGTACCTAACCTTACCTAACCTTACCTAACCTAACCTAACCTAACCTAACCTGGGCGTTTTAGGAGAGACTGCATTAGCTACTGGCATCAGTGTTTCGCCACTGTGTTTACCAGCAGCAGCACTTTATCACGACATAAATAAGTGACCGCTGCCAAAGCAGGCAGCATAGCGGATAATGATGTATGCTAAAATTACACTAATGCGCACTGAGAGGATATGCATGCATCTCACTCCTGGGTGAGGGCTTTGTTAAAGAACGCTCTCTGAATTCACGCGCTGCTCGTTCAGGAACGCACCGATGACCTGAAATACATAGACCACGCGCCATTAGGGCTTGTGTATTTGAGCACCTGGGCGCTCCACTTATTTGACATTACGTTGTTACGGGAAAAATTTTACAGGTTCGTTGTGAAAAGGAGACCTTAACTTAACGCAGGCAAAGGGCCAAGGTGACAGGTATGCACGATGAGGGCATACGTAGCGCGTCAGTCACCAACCGGCTGTGGCCTAGCCTACCGTACATCCGATTTCACCACTGTATTCCTTACCATCTCTTTTCATAAACGGGCAGCAAATATCACTACGAAATTTCCTCAGCTTGCTACGATGTTCACTAAGCATGCTATATTGTCTTCACATGACATAGGAAACATTATCGGTCACCTAAATCCTCATTTCAAGCTCATCTAGCTTGGTTGCGATACCCACATGGCCCATTCCGTTCACAGTTTACCCGAGTCCGGATCGTTTGAGCTGCTGGTATCAGTTCGCTTAATGAGACTCCTGACGCCCGGACCTAGAGCTCACAGCTGATGCGACGAAATTTGAAACTCCCGATGCCGCAGGGGCTGGGTGATATTTTACTTGAGATTGCCTCATTTCTCTGATCTGACCGACCTTCTGCGGATGCCGGTCTTTCAACTTGGACTGGACACGCTCATCCGTGCCAAATCCAAACCCGTAGCACGTTTTGGGGATGAATCTCAAGGCCATGACAGCACACCTTGTTACTCATGTTTACAGCTGTTGCCCCACCCCCTACACTCAACCCCACACCCTCTCTCCAGTACTCACGTCTAGCTGGCGGTCGCCGGTCCCCTCGAACTGCGGGAACGTTATCCCCTTCTCTAGGGCCTTGGCGGCGGCCGTAGAGAGCACTGCCGACAGGCAGACGGCCAGCAGCACGATCAGCCGAGCCGGGGTCATGGCGCCTGCCGACAAAGGTCATGGAGTCAGCGCAGAGATCGCCGGGGCGCTGCAGAGGCGACGCCAGGCGCGTGGCCGGGAGTGGTCTGACCCGCTTATCGCTAAAACTTGGCGGGGAAAAGAGCTGTCGATTGATGGTCACAAGCCGTGGGAAAACGGTTGGCGCCCGCCTGCGGGTCACAAGCCGAGCGTTGGATTTGTTATTCAGTCAGAAATAAGGCTAAGCAAGATCATCCGGCGTTGATTATCATGAGCACAAATTTTGTTGTGCTGGACTAAATCGCGTTTCATTTCCATTTTCTGAAGGAGATAGGATGAATGGGTTTGGATTTGAAGTTGTGTATTGGCTTAATCTGAGCCCTAAAAATTAATTTCCAGATTAGCTTATGAATATATTTCGGCATGGTGCTAGTGGTGGGTTATGAAACGCAAACATGCAGCCAGGTTGAAAAGTATAAATTTGTAGCCATTACGTATAAGCTGGGTTCAATGAGGAGTCGAGCCGGGCAGCACTTCCGGCTTGCTGGAAATGGATTATAGGCATGGAGGTGGGATTTAAACTGGCAACGAAGCCATCATCTTTAGTCGCTTTAATTCCTTAAAGGGAATTGATCATTTCCTTGAATATCTTCCGCTTGCAAAGAGATGAAAGTTACATATGATTTGCACCCGGCCGGAGGGTTCCACACAAGGTCTTAGTCGCCGTGTGATATGGAATTGGCGTGATTAATGAGATTCCGTCAGCTAGCATTCGCTTTGATGCATGCCATTTTGATGCCAGCGCTGCAGTCGCACATGGTACGCTCAGGACCTGCCTTTTAGGGCGGCTCTTCACACAATGGACCTTGGGTTTTTTATGCGAAGGGCATAAGTACACAAGGGCCCCACTGAGAGCGTAAGAGCAAATGCTGCCCATTGTTTCGTCTGGTAACATCCATGCGCACTCTACATGTCTGCATCAACACTAGATACCAGGCACCCAATGCTGATACAGATACCGGTGGTGCACAACAGCGTCCTGAGCAGTTCTCCAGCGCTCTGACGGACCGGCGGGGCCACAGTTTGCTGCCGAGGAGCACCCGTAGTGTGCTGCCAGAGGCGCGATTGCGGCCGTCACAGCCAAGCCTCCGGCGATGAAACCTGTCGTCGTCCTCCTACTGCCGCCCACCGGAGTGAGTGGTTCGGAATTATGAGGCCGCTGCAGCTTAGCACGGTCAGGAACGTGTCAGACGTCACTGGCGATTGGGTTGCGCTGCAGACCGCTCGAAAAGACTGCAGTCTAAAGGGATTCGAGATGCTGGGCGGGCGCCGCCTTATCGCTGGCAGTTTTGCTTGCTCAACAACTTCCTGAAGAGCCCGAGAGGAGCCAGATTGCCTATGGTGCGGCAGGGAGACCGTTGTTGCGAATCGCAGATGTGGTCAGCAGGTTTATTTCCATGGGAAATGTCCAAAACAATCTTTGCACCAACGCCGAGCATGTACACGCATATAATGATGGAATATAATACACTAATAATAAATAACCAGGGCTGACATTGTTCCGTGTATATCTTATCCCATTACATCTGTCTGCGGCGTTACTCCATGTAAATACTTGTCCGCTGTACGTTACATAATGCATACTAATGAATGCATCAGCGGACTTGCTGCCATCGGTGGCATGATGGGGCTGGGAACGACTGGCAGCTCTGGGCTCCGAGGGAATTCTAAGCCGCAGCTGGCAGTCGTGCCAACAGCTCGAGCAATTGGACACACCCATTTATCTCACTGAGTCTCAGATATATCACGGGCGCCATGTAGTCTGGGCCTCCACAGTCGGTGAGCTTGCATGCGGCGCCCGAGGCCAGCACAACCTGACGCGTGTGCATTGTGGCGGGGTTCAGCTAGGGTCCCGTCCAAACGTCAGTCCTCAGTCTCAGGAAGCACGGCAGTTCGGCGGCTGCTTCCTTTGTCATCCCCGCCAGCAGCGGCTGCTTCTGGAGAAGTCGCGCAGCTGGCAACAGAGGGCAAGCCTGATCCTCGCTTGTCGCTCTCCGTGCAGTGCCAGGCACTCGGTGCTGATTTTCTCAGTACAGGATGTTTCCACCTCCAGTCTGCATCTCCACGGACGATAATTTTCTCCAAAGCTGCCCCCTCCCTCTCGCTTTTCGGCCAACGTCGGTGGCTGCTATTCGCGCCTCTGTCTGAGTTGTGAATGCCCCGGAGAGGCGCCCACTCGCGGTCAGCATGTGACCTCCGACCCCTGACGTCCCTGCCAATGGTCGCGCCGAGACACAATAGATCGTCGGCGGCCGTTGGTGTGTGCACGCGGCCTCGGAATATTGAGAACCCCGCACCATCTGTGCCGGGCCAGCGTGGCCACGCGGTCACGCGAGTCGACGTTCAATGAGGCGCCGTGCGTGCGGAGCTAATGATATTGATACTAACTGATAACGCGTCCTGTCGCTGTATCGGCCCCTGCCAACGACTGGGTGTCGGTTCGCCTGCGCAGGCATTTGCTCTGCGAAGATATCTCAATGGTCGCTGGGGATGGATGTGTCCACTGGATTGCGATGACGCGAAGCCGAGTCACGCATGGAAAGCGTTTCCTTAGAAACTCAGTTCTTTTGATTTTAGCTGTCTCACTTGGTTCTCTGTGTTTATGCGTGATGTATCTGCAATACATTTCTGATCGGTGATTCGGGTACAGGTAAAACGTGTCACCGTCCGGAAACCACGTTGTGCATCGAAATTTGTATAACAGGGGTATATCTGTCTCATACGCATCCCCACACATAAGGACACACACAAACACACGCACAATTAATGTGTAGTTGACAAAATGACTTAAATTGTATCTGATTTGGATAGCATGCAGCATAACGCGGAGATTTATGACTAGAGGGGCAGGTGGTGTCTGTTTCTTTCGCTTTTTCTTTTAGTAAAATTCTCAAGCGCCTCATTTCTTTCTTTCGTAAATGGAAATGGTTCTGGACAAGCCTATGCTCATCTAACGTGCTCACATTTTACATCACCTACACCATTGGTTCTCCGTCCCACAGCGTCTCTTGGCTGTTGATTATAAATTTCAAAGTCATATGCAGATAAGGCCAAGTTTGGCAGCCATCAGATCCCGGATCAACGTTGGCTGGGAGAGAAGCCTTGCTGGCCATCGTTCACCGACAGGGAATGCATGCTGTGCCGCTTAGCAGTTCGGTACAGCGGTACAGTCTGCCACGCTTCTGAGGTGTGTAGAGCTTTCAAACTTCGTCACTCATTTGAAAAAGAAACGTCTCCCTTGCGCAGGGAAACAGCCGGGATTTTCAGAATTACAGCAGGTGAGAAGGTTTTAAGCCGATTGCTATTCCCTGTCAAGAGCCATCTTTGGTAAAAACAAGAGAGATGCGGGACTAGGGGGAGGAGGGGGAGGGGGGGAGGGGGAGGGGAGGAGGAAGGTGCGGGCTTACCGGTCTGCATACAAATATTGCAAGGTGAATGCTATAGGTCTGTTTTGGTAAGAACGTTTTTGATCCAATTTTCATGACGAGGATTTTGTAGCATATACATGTTTAATTAATGGTGGGCATCAGCTGTGAGCAGCAGGTAAACATCAGGTGGATATCGCTCTGATTTTATGCAGTGCCGATTTCATCCATAATATCTCCAAATCTATGACGCCGATTGTGTCATCTGGGGGGCCAAAATGACCACAGAGGTGTTAACTGTCTTTTCATAGATATTGTGCTCAAAAACATCGATTGAGTAATCAGGAGTCGAAAATTTGGGAAAACGTAGCGTACGATAAGGTGTGTTTAATGGATCTAAACGGCGTGCCAGTTTTGAAAGTGGATATAGATACCTGAATGGAATATTTTTCAACGTCCATGAGCAGTTTTTGTGTTTGTTAAGGATGCAGAAAAATGCAGAGAGTGTCCAATTTTGACATATACTTAACGGTCCCAATCGCCCATGCTTGTTTTCCGAAGAGTTGGTCAAAAATGCCAAACGAATTGAAGACGAAATTTCTTACTAGACAACACCACGTTTCCAAATGTTAGGGGTTTCTTTGCGGGGAGAGCTTTGGGCACGTCGACTACAACGGTTATTTTGTACCCAAAATGTTAATGTTGAACTCAAGTATACGGCAATGAGACGCAAAACTACAAGTGCCATGTCTTAAGCTCTGCCCTATAAAGGGGTGTTAAAACGTATATTTTAGGCATTTTTGGTAAAACGCGTCAATGGTTTTGAAGACATAGTGCTGAAGACATCCCCGTTGCATATGTTGTAAAAATACGTTCCTGATTCCGACGGGGCAGAGTCCATGACCTGTTTCTTAAGCGCATATCGGTGGCACTCGTGTCAAAAGTGACAAATAGCTTTCATTCTCGCATAAATGCACATCAAAAATACTTTCTTTTCTCCTGTCCTCATCGATATCCTCTGAAGTGCATTAATCTTAGCCAGTTAATAGGAGAGCGATGCAACTCCCCCCCCCCCCTTAAGGCCTTTTTAAGATACCTTTCCGGCATGCCCTACAATCGCGCTCAAATGTCCAGTTGTCTACATCTGTTTAGTGGGTAATTTATTGTGCGTGATGACCACTAAAAGCGTGTGCCTGGTTTTTTCCAGTTTCGTGGCAGAGGCGGTTTTTAGGATACTGCTCGCCACGGCGGGCGACAACCGACGAAGTCGTGGAACGCGCGCGATGGGGGGACATTGCTTTATAATACATCATAAACGGATGCTCAAAACACAGACCAATATACACCAAAGTACTAATAATTGAACGAGAAACATACCTGTATAGTTTTGTGCCGCTAAAAGGCATGGTCTTGTATTTATGATGTTAAAATGAGAAACGTTATTTTAGGGCAAATGTGACCTTTGACCTGGCATAATTGGGTCAATTCTTAAGCTAGTAGCATGCATATCATCACACTAGTTACGAGACCTTGCTCGAATTTATCCACGGGTATTTTCCGCTAGTCTCTATCTTACTTAGTTTGAGAACAGCAGAGTGGTC